GATAAATCTTATCGGCTGATCCGGTCAGCTACGGTAGAAACGTACCAAAGTGCTTCAGAGTGGACTTGTCCCCGAAGGGCCACCACACTGTCTGTCCCGAGTTTGAAATACTTTCCGACTAATGTCAGGGAGTAGCCAGATCGCCTGTTAGCAGACTACCAGGTAAACTGCTTGAGCCTTTGGTCCAAACCTAGATTTCCCACATAGATGATTTTTTATTTTATTTTATAGGTGTTTAATACGGTCTTGATTTAGAAAACTAGTTACCAAGCAAAAATCAGTTTGCTAACTATCACTTTGGTACAAATGCAGTTTTATAAAAAAATCATATTTATCCTTTTTGAAATCAAATCGAACCTAATAAATCACTTCTATTACAGTTTTCAAAATCGAGTGAAGACTGTAGAACAAACAAAAAAATTAAAGTCCCTCTCAATCATCCCCTTAATCTACATATACATTTTTACAGTACTTTTTTGCTTTAATTCTTTTGGATCCGGGTTTGACCCGGTTTTAGTCTGTTCGGATCTTGGATAAGCAATTTTAGGGATGTTGTCTTAATTTCAAACTGATAAATGAAGTCATGTTGTCTTTAATTCATCTACTTATTCTTATACTATTTCCATATTAATCAAAATCTCCGGATACTTAGCATTTACCATACCTAATTGATTAACTCCATTTTTACCAAAATCAATACAAATAACATCTCACATACCTTAAGTATATTGTTCCTTTATTTTCGCCAATGCAATCTGCAACAAAAAACGACATTAATTTTTAATTAACACCTAAATCTAATTATATATGATATCTACAAACTAACTATATTTGTTATTAACTATATTTGTTATTTACCTTAACTACTTCTAACAATAAATATTTTGATTACAATAAATATTTTGTAAAAAATTGTTCTTACGAAAAATAATTTGATTTGTTATGAAAATTAATATTTGTTATTTTTAAAAATTATTTTTGTCATTAAAATACATAAATAGTAATAATAATTTGGCTAGACCATCAAATGAAAATAGTTAGTTATTTAATTTTTTATTTAATATTACGTAATTTTTTTTGGGTAATATTTTCTGATGTGGGTGAACAAATAATTTTATTATTTATGAATACAAAACTATAAAATCTAAATTAGTTTAAAGTTTGGGATAACTATAATCCCAAAAATAAAACTAATTGGAAACTAATCCCAACAATCAATCTACATAAATGGCATATTCTTTACAACATTACTAAATCGCATTTAAGTCATTATTTGTTTCCAATTATGATTACAAACCTTTGATTTAATGGTATTAATATACCTATGCATCAAAATATTAAAATCAGTGAGATAATTGATTTTAATGAATATACGTATGCATCAAAATATGAAAATCTTAGCATAATATATTCTCCAAAAGTAAACGTACCCATAATTCATGCCGCTGGGTAAGTTAATAAACGAATTAAATCAATCAGTTTCCATAAATATCGAAGCAAATCTTTCCAAACAACCGAATAATTAATGTGATTACAGTTACTTATTCACACATTATCCTTTCTGCTATTTTTTCCACACAAAATATTGATTACAACGATTTTATAGAAAATATTAATTACATATATATTCTTCATAGTAGTATATTCCAAAAAAAATTCCGAAGAATATATTTTGTTCCATTTTAGTTAAGGTATCAAATATAATTTCCTTGGTCACCAAGAGATTATGATCTAATGTGTGACGCCTATATATACTCTTTAGTCTTTACCATTACCTCTCATCTCATTTTTCAAACACATTATTGATAAAACTCTCTACACATTCCTTTGTATATATGCCTTATTTTGGTCAAATCTTTATGTTCGCACGATTAACATCATCTTTATTTTGTTTGTTTCTATACGTAGACGAAACTCATAATGGCTCTGAATATAGGATTGCTAATAGCCGGTGCAAAAGAAATGGGAGAATTGGAGGCTCGGGTCACTGCTTTGATAAGTGATGTTAAAAATTCAGGTTAGTGATCTCAAATTTTAATACATCAAAGAATGAAATTAGCATGGCACATTGCTAACAGTTTTTTTAAATTAAATTCTAACTATAAGAGCTAAATTTTATCAAAAACCATACACCACCAATCAGTTTTATATACTACCAAAATCATAAATTTATGAAGATCAAAATTAAAAAGTCAAAATTGTTCCACGGGTCAATATCTAAATGTATAATTGAGTTACTATATTACATATATTTTAATACGAAATAATTTTTTTTGATAAAATCCAACATTGTTATATATACAAATTCAAAATATTATAAATATTTATAATATTAAAATTTTAGAAAAAGTTTATAATATTAATAATATAGATGAACTCTAAACAATTAATAATATATATATATATATATATATATATATATATATATATACTTATTGACTCGAATTATATGTCTTTTAAATAAAAATATTATTAAAAAAACAAAATGATGTTGAATTTCCAAATTAACAATCAAAATAATATTCTACAATATTAAATACTAAACAAAACAAATACAACTTAAAATTTAATATTTTTTCAAAAACGCATCTCGATTCTTTTATAAGAAGTTTAAACATTATAAATACTTAAACTTTATACTACGGATGAAATCCTAAAATTGACGGTTTTGGATTGATATTAATACGGGATAATATAGTACGGGTGAAATCCTAGAATTTACAATCAAATAAAATTAACAAAACAAATATAACTTAAAATTTTTAGTTATAAAATATCATTTCGCGATGTACTATACATTTAAATCAAACAAAACAACAGCATATATCTATAGATCATCTTAAAAAAATATTGAATATTTATTTAATAAAAATATAGGCCCGCGGTGTACCGCGGGTTAACATCTAGTTTAGTAATATGAAAATAGTTCAAAACTAAGACATTGCTAATTAAATATGAGTAAGTGAACTTGTGATCTCCACAAATGTTGTCCATTGGGCCAATCTCAAACCTATTGGGAGATATATTTAAATTGGGCTTAATCGGCTGACTACAATTTGCTTATGTACATTATTGAGATTAGGGTAAACATTAGTTTTTGTATAAATAGATTGGAACCGTCTTTGTAAAACTCATTCAAAAATATACAGAGAATTTCAAATCTTACATGGTATCAAATTTATGTCAAAATTAACGGAATCGAGTGCATGTGGTAATGACAAGATACGTACGACTACCAACGTTGTGTTAGCCCAGTAATAAATCTCCCAGATAGAGGTACTGGGTTCGACGCCCGTTGGCAGAGCTGACCCTGAACAGAGCAGGAAGAAACATTTGTTTTGGGCCCGTTTTCAAAGGGTCCCCATTTTCTAATTTTCAAATACTACTCTACATAAAAACTCGTAATAAATGATGTTAAGTAAAAATATAAATAACTTTTATTGTTAGCCGGTCCCAACCAAAAAAGACTAATTAAAATGTTAAAAAGCCCAACAATATTTTTTCGTCTTCTTTACTTCTTCGTTTCTCTGCATGACTTTTCAGCTTTCTGCTTTACATTTTTTTTTTCTTTCAGTCTCTTTTACTTCTTCTTAAGTTTTTTGAGACAGTAACATTTAAGATGACGTGGCATTAGGTTTTTATAAGGAAAGACTCAGGTAGATCTAGATACACAAGCTTTGATGATCAATAAGAGAAGCATATATAGACTATTAAGTTGTAGAAATTTTCATTGCCTTCGCCAATTTGTGCTTTCAACATTATGATATAAGAGAAAGTGAAGAATTGTAGGCTTGAAGAAGTTTTCCAGATCCTCAAATTCATTATGTTTTTTCTTACTTTGAAGACATTGACAAGTTTAGCACTCTCCATGATGATGCAAGTTTATATTCTTATTACATGATCTTAATCTTTGAAGGTACATGACATGGAAATAAGCTAAAAAAGCATTGGAGAATAATAAATGAATGCATTTAGTGGAAAGCCTCAAAAGAAACAGAGGCTATCGTTTAGTGTAGCGTGAGTAAACATAAAGAAAGAGAAGAGAAGATGTTTGAACTGAATATGACTCTTGGCAAATTTGGAGGACAACTTGGTGGTGGAAGTACGAAGAAACCCGCAAAAGGGATACATAAGCTAAAGGAGAGAGTCGTTAAACAAATTGTAGGGAACTTTTTGAGTAGTGTACTTGATGCTAGGCATTTGCTACATTCTTGTTCTTGAAGAACTAATGACAGTGATATAAGAAGATTACCAATTAAGGTAAGATTAAGATCAAGATCGGAGGAGAAATTGGAGGAGGCAAAGAAAGTAAAAGACAGTAGAAAAGAGGCAAAAAGAATTAAGGAAAGAAGAACGAGGCGGTAGGAGGAAGGGCAAGTAACCGCGGTAGATGTGTTAACAATTTTTTGAAACGAGACTTATAATCAAAGGAGCTTACTTCAAAAGATGTTTGAAGCCATGCAAACATCTTGACATACAACAATTAATCTTGGTAGTGGCATTACAGTGAAATATTTATGAAAATGTCAAAAATTTGGAATGATATTTCCACAGTAGCCTCTCTTTATAATAAGTGCAGTTATAGCTATTGAATTGGTTTTGATTGTGAAAGATAACAAATCTTCTTATCCCGGACGAGATGAATTTATTTGGAGAGTACCGTAAACCCGATCGGTGATATACACCCTTTTCAGTCGCCGCGGATGACTCTGGTTTGAGTAAAAATTAGAAAACTAATTTACCTTTATATTGTTCAATTAATAGCCATGTCATCTCTTATTAATAAAAGGTGTTGTTTGAGGCTTCTGAAGCCAGCCGCATCGGCTATTTCTATAATACTCTCTCTCTCTCTACTTGCCACGTCAGCGTCGAAAACAAAAATTAGCCACGTTAGCAAGCCTCTATTATATGGACCTGTTTCGAAGCCCATGAATTAATAGATAAAAACGAAAAAAAAATAAAATAAGACGACGCTCTAACTGATCGACTTCCACAAATTCTACGATCTGAGTTTTCAGAGTTTCTATCATCAATGTTCAATTGACCATCTATCTCCGCTTTAAATAACCTTCTTAGAGATGCATACGCTACAATTGAAATCTATAAAATTGTTTCAGTGTTAGTATCTCTTTACGGTTGTCGACGTCGTTCCACCTAAAACCAGTTTCAAATTACCCAAATTGTTTTTCATCCTCATCTAAAATTGATGGAAGAGAACATAAGAGGCCATCTGATCGACACCGTTCATTCGAAAAAGAAAAGCTGATTCCATCTCTCATCGTTTAATAACGATGTAGCAGTGTAAGAAATTCGATTCTATTTCTGTTAAGTTTACAGTTTGATTAATCCCAAAGGAAGAACTCATCATCAGTACAAACAATATTTTTGGTGTTTGTGAAATAAGACAGAGACGGATTGGGATTGTTTGAGAAGAGGATATTTCAGTTTGCTAAACCCTGGAAACGGATAGCCTCTACCTAGCTACAGACAGATTCCACCAACACGTTTCTTTGATATCGTCTTTGAGGTTTGGCCTTTTTCCTATCCACATACTGCTCCATTGTTTGTTTTTTTTTTTTATTATTATTATTTACAATATCAAACAGATGGCATTTACCTTCCATAGTAGAAGGGAGACGAAGCTTGGAACTATGCCCTCTTAGGTATTCAAATGCTTCTCTCATGTCATTGAGTGAGGTAAGATTATAGATTTGACTCTTATTTTATATCATAGTCTGCATGCAGCCCTATAACTTCTTACTAACGTTTTTTTTTAATTTTCCAAACCAATGGTTAATGCTAAGATAGATGAAGAGAGAGCGAGACATGGTTAATCAACTTATAATTTTTTGGTAGATGTTTCAAGCCATTTAATAACACATTGCAAAGTTGACTCTAGCATAATGAAGATAATTATAGTGTAAAATTCTTTGTATGAGTGGTACAAATATTTGACTTGATCATCCCTAATAACTCTTTCTTCCAGGTTTTAAGTCAATAACACCATCACACTAAAAAAAAGCATGTGATGCTACGATTAACAATGTATCTGTTCAAATTACATGCGTTTAGAAGAATCAATTCAGTTGGTTTTGAAGAGTTTATACATGGGGACACAAAAAAAATGGTCAAATCTTTTATTTCGATTAGGAAAAACGACAAGCCAGTGATCAAGGTTCCTAGAATACTGATGAGGATGATGGATGATTATATGAAAGTATGGTTGTTTAGAGAGTTTGTCTGTAGATAGAAACAATGCAAGTTCTGGAAATTGAAACTACGTATAGTATAGGCTCAAGAACTTCGACCTTCACTCCAGCATGGTGGGATTGTGCTGCCTCAACATTTTGGTTCGGTAGATAATCCAAATAAACCTTAAATTGTTTTACATTAGCTAGGTTTGTGCAGGTTGTATTTGTTTTCCAAAACTTTTCACATACTTTGGCTGATAAATTTTTAGTGCAGAAGGCATCAATAAACAACACAAAGTCATCGTTTGCTTTTATGTTAAGAGATAAAATTAAAAATATAGAGAATGGATAAGACTACAATATAAATTAAGAGAGAGATATATAGATGACAAAATACTATATAGACAATTAATAAGAAAAATGAATTATATATTAAAATATAAATTACACATATAATTATAGATGGATAAAATTAAAATTTTTAATAGTACTCCTTCTGTTTCAGAATATATGATGTTTAAGGTAAAAACACACAGTTTAAGAAATTTAATTTTTTTTAAAAAAATTATCATTTAATATTTGATTTAATAAAATTCAACCAATAGTATAAAAGACTGAAGAATTTAAATAGTCAGAAAATATCAAATCATTTATAATTTGCCTAAAAAGTTGTAAAACATCATATAAAATGAAACAAAATTAAATGTCTAAAAAATCCTATATTTTGAAACAGAGGGAGTATCATTTAACCTTTCTTTATTAAAATGTTAAAATACAACTTCACATAATTTTCAATTTATATATTACTAAAAAACAAAACAATAATTAAAACTCAATAAAATAATTTTAAAATATCAATTGTCCAATATAATCCGGGCGTAGCCCGGATTAATCCCTATATATGTTAAAAGTAAGTTAATTGTAATCGTAAAACAATGGTCAATTAAGATTATAATCGCAATATAAGACACTCAATCGTTAGTCACGTAATGTCTTTTAAACATTTCAACCATTAACCACTTAACTAATTGAGATTAAATTTTAATGTAGTTTTATTAATTAAAACTGATTTAGCTGAAATAGAAAAAATTACAGCTTTTATTATTGTTTACATCTTATAAGTTATAACCAATAAATTATAATCGCTTTTTTTTTTTTCGTTGATATTTAGTCAGAATAAGAAATATCTCATTGAAAACAAATAATTGCAAGAATCTATTTCTGCAGTAAAAATATTTATAATTAAAATCCGAATACTAAAACTGATTTACGGTTTGTTCTTGATTTAGCATTTCAATTTGATTTGGTTCTTTTTTTACCTTCAAATATTATAAATATAAAATACTTTAGATATTTAATTAAAATTATTTTTTAATTTTAAATTTTAAATTTCTTCAATATTTAGAAGAATATCATTTAAAAAATATTCCGCCGCAGAGGGCGGATTTCGACCAGTTCTCTTAAAAAGTCTGAAACAAAACTGATCATTGTGACTTTGTGAGTAGTAAAAAAAACAAATAATGATAATGTATATATAATATATGTTAGAGACAAACATAAAGTTTTAGAATGAGATTCACATAATGTGACGTATTTGAAGCAGTAGATGTGAAAGTAATTTAAGCCGACATTAGAAGAAAGCAAGAATTGCACGTACCTCGTCCTAATAGTGATTCCATGATCCAATACAATCGCTGACGCAATAACGACAAGTCGACAAAAGAAAAAGAGGTGCACCATAAATAGGTGGACCTGAGAAGCAGATGAGTGAAACCTAAAAGACAAAATCAATGGGGTCATAAATAAAAAATAATAATAAATAAAAGAGGACCCAGTTCCTGCATGTATTCACGTGCCCTGCCATTCTCGCTTGCCGTTTATTACACTATCATCTGCATCTGCTTCTGCATAGGATTCTAATGTACCTCCAAAATTTCTATATTTATTTTTCTGAATATTGTATAAAGTATATCATAATAATGACAAGAACAATTGCTGTAAGCAAATATCACAAAGCAAAATTTATATAGTTTTCTGGAAAATATACAAAATTTTTTGGTAGTCTCTAGAAATCAATGAGATAAAAAAACAGATCACTCCTACCATATGTATTGATATCTATCTGGTTTATATTAAGTTATGTATTATTATGTTTTGATAAAGATATTAGGTGAATTTTATTGTTTTAGATTAAAAATAGGCTCTCAATATTCTATGTAGAAATTCATTTTTACTAATTTCATTTTTGTAATAAAATAATAAATGAGTTAATTTTAAAATGAGTTATTATTGTTTCATCGAGGATTACATGAAGATAGTTATTTATTTTATTTTTTTGCACAAAAAGTTATTATTTTATTTTTATTAACCTGAAAATTATGTGCTAAATCCTAGATTAAGTACTCTAGAGTTTATAAAATAGGGATTTTTTTATAACTGAAAACATTTATAGATGGCTTTACGGATAGTCTATTTTTTATTTTGTTACAAAATGTAAGATTTTTCTTAAGACCTCAAGGGAATCAATCCCTACCCAATACTCTTACAGGGAGACTTCGCACCTCAACGCCGGAGTTATTAGTCCACCATATATATTTTAGCGTATGTTTCAAAATATAAAATATTTTAGTTAAAAACACGTAGTTTAAGAAATATTCACTTTTAAAAAGTACGACTAATCATAAAAAATAATGCATAATATAAAGAATTATAAAATATTAAACTAATCTATAATTTCCATAGAAATTTAAAATATCTTATATTGTAAAAAAAAAAAAAAATCAAAACATTTTATATTATGAAACGGAAGTAGTAGTTATTATATAATAAGAACATATATTTTTTTATAATAGTAAGCTTTTATATCATATTGTTATTTAAGCATGAGAGAATATAATCTAGTACATCAATGGATTATTTGAAAGAGTTGTAATAAAAGAAGTTTAAGTTGTTGATTTACTATTCATAAACAGAACATATTGGTTGTCACTTTTTTTAGTCGACTGTAAGTCTGTATAATATTTTGAAATTGAATATGTTATCAACTTATACTATTATTTCAATATTTTGTTATCTAATGAGAAGTGAAAAATCAGTTGTTGGTGGATTTTTTTCTTTTTTCTTTTGGTATTTGTTCAACAATTTAGTAGATTCTAGAATATCAGTAATTTATGCTTTCGTGCCATTTTATCCTATAAATCTAAGACAAAACTATAATATATAAGTATTCAATTATACAAGTATTCCTTTAATGCTTAGGTTTCACTTAATTAGTTTGAGCATAAGGGGTGGCTATAACATGGGCTAAAATAATTCGATTTATTGTATTTGGAAAAAATGTCAGTGATAACTGATAAATGAGAGAGAGGTGATGTTTGGCGTTTTTAGTAATATTGTCTTTGTCTTTGCCATTTTGTAAATTGAATCTAAAATATTTTTTACATTTAGAAAATAACACTCACTATCTTTTTTTTTTTTTTTTTGTTAAAAATAACACTAACACTCACTATCAGTCAATTATTATGCAAGAAGAACCAAAAAAAAAAACTTGGACTGTATACGCGTGTTTATCTACACGGTAGCTTTTGAGTAAAAAATTGACTTGTAATTTTCATTATTGTTAGATATATTGGAAAGATAAGGATAAAACATATAATGCTACTATATACATTCGATTCAATAAGAAAATAAATTTGCTGATATTTTTCATGTAAATCAGCGTCTAAACTTTTTCTTGAATATGAGAACTCGACCGTGAGGCTCTCAGAATCATCATTGAAAATCTTAATTCTTTAATTGGAAATTATATAGTCCAAATAATTCAAGAATGGTTCGAATATTCTATATAAAGTTAGTAGAACAAAAACATAAAAAGGTTTTAAGACTTCTCTTCTATTCTAGGAAATTTTCTTGTACATATACTTATAATTAACACAATAGAATCAAATCAGAAAAAAAAAAATCTATGGTTAAGTAGTTAATAAACAATAACTATTCATTAATGGCTTAATACCAACCACAGATATTTTACTTTTAAAATATAAACATCTAGCCCTCAAAAATGAAATATAAAAAATAGCAATATAAAAAGAGAGACTAAAAAGAGAGAGAAAAGAGAGATTTCGATGTGAATAGCTCAAGTGAAACAAAATAAGAAACATAAAGAATAAAAGAAATGTTTGATGGTGGAGTACCGGAGCAGATCCACCGGTTCATAGCATCTCCACCGCCGCCTCCTCCGCTTCCGCCGCATCAACCGGCGGCTGAAAGATCACTCCCTTTTCCTGTCTCATTCTCTTCCTTTAACACCAATCATCAAGCTCAGCATATGTTGAGCCTTGATAGGCGTAAGATCATTCACCATCATCATCATCATCATCACCATGATATCAAAGATGGTGGTGCTACTGCTGAGTGGATAGGTCACACGGATCATGATGGTGATAATCATCATCATCATCATCATCATCCATGGTGTAGTGATGAAGTTCTTGCTCTTCTTAGGTTCAGATCTACAGTGGAGAATTGGTTCCCTGAATTCAATTGGGAGCATACTTCAAGGTAATACATATTCAGACACATATACAAATAAAATTCTATGTATATATGCATCAACAAATATTTATATATTTCAATAGATGCATATATATGAACATGAACATCAGTCTCTTTAGTGTTGTTATATACGTGTACATGTACATTAGTTTGATAAAACTAATTATAAGTGGGCATTCAGGTTACGCAATTTGATTTGAGAGACTAGATCTTGTTTCTTTTGAAAAAGCATTTTGGGATATTTAATTTTGATGCTAACAATGATTGGCCATTAATAAGTATTTTTATTTATACATAATTGGCATTTTTGTGACATTTTAATACATTTTTAGAAATAAACGAACGATGAAATTAATATATGTGTATATATATATATGTATATTCACACAATTAATGACGTTATGTCGTTTATGAAATTATGATGCTGTAGAAAGTTGGCAGAAGTTGGTTTTAAGAGGAGTCCACAAGAATGCAAAGAGAAATTTGAAGAAGAAGAGAGAAGATATTTCAATATTAACAACAACAACACTAATGATCATCAACACATCGGCAATTATAACAACAAGGGAAATAATTATAGAGTATTCAGTGAGGTTGAAGAGTTTTATGATGTTTCATCAGAAGTTGGGGACAACCAAAACAAGAGGAACGATTCAGTAGAAGCAAAAGGAAACGTGGGAGAAACGGTAACGGGACAAGACTTAATGGAGGAGGACAAATTAAGAGATCACGATCAGGGTCAAGTAGAGGAAACATCAATGGAGAATAAAATAAACTCCATTGAGGTTGGCAAAGTTGGAAACGTAGAGGAGGATGCGAAGTCATCATCATCGTCAAGCTTGATGATGATCATAAAGGAGAAGGAGAAGAGGAAGAGGAAGAAAGAGAAAGAGAGGTTTGGTGTGTTGAAAGGGTTTTGTGAGGGTCTTGTGAGGAACATGATAGCTCAACAAGAGGAAATGCATAAGAAGCTCCTAGAAGATATGGTGAAGAATGAAGAAGAAAAGATTGCGAGAGAGGAAGCTTGGAAGAAGCAAGAGATTGAGAGAGTTAACAAAGAGGTAGAGATTAGAGTACAAGAACAAGCCATGGCTAGTGATAGAAACACCAGCATCATCAAGTTCATATCCAAGTTCACTGACCATGATCTTGATGTTGTCGAAAATCCAACAAGTCTGTCTCAAGACTCATCTTCTTTAACTCTACCAAAAACCCAAGGCAGAAGAAAGTTTCAAACTATATCATCACTATTACCTCAAACCCTAACTCCACATAACCCTTTAACCCATGACAAATCACTTGAACCCACTAAAACCCTAAAAACCAAAACCCAAACCCCAAAACCTCCAAAAAGTGATGATAAAAGTGATCTTGGCAAGAGATGGCCAAAGGATGAAGTGTTGGCTCTTATCAACATTAGACGAGGTATCAGTAACATGAATGATGATGATCATAAAGATGAGAACTCTTTATCATCTTCTTCAAAAGCTGTTCCATTATGGGAAAGAATATCCAAGAAAATGTTGGAGATTGGGTACAAGAGAAGCGCCAAAAGATGCAAAGAGAAATGGGAAAACATCAACAAGTATTTTAGGAAGACAAAAGATGTTAACAAGAAGAGACCACTTGACTCAAGGACTTGTCCTTATTTTCACCAACTCACAGCTTTATACAGCCAATCCTCCACAGGGACCACCACCACCGCCACCACCGCCACGTCAGCCGGAGATCTAATAACCCGACCCGATGAGGAAAACCGGGTTGGATCCGAAGATCCTGATATATCTGTAGCCATGCATGTAGATGGAGATGGTGCTGGCGATAAAAGCAATGTTCAGTTTTCAGGTTTCGATCTTGAGTTCTAATAAATCCCTTATATATATATTATCAGTTTTATTCTCTCTTTTTTTTTTGTTTCTTCTTTTTGCTAAAACCTCATTTTTGGTTATTATGAAAAAGTTATATATATGAATAGTGTTACTGTTTTAATGCTATTAGTGGGAAACGTATCTTGACGACTTGGACGACCGTACACGTGCACCGACAAACAGTGAAATTCAGTTGAACATGAATAAACTACTGGTTAAATTCCTATTCTAGCTTTTGTTTTCCATGAATGTCACGTATATATGATGAGATCAGGTCTTTCATAATAATTAAAAATAAATAAATGCAAGGAAAAGTTATATTTTTTTTGTGGATTAGTTACTTATTTGGTTTATATTAAAAGTAGAAACGGGATGGGTCGGCAAATTTCAGAAAATAAATAAATCATGTTTCGTTTTAATTCAAATTGAAATGGAGAACCAAAAAAAAATACACGTCGTTTCATTCTGTACAATCTTAGACAAAACGATAAAAAAAAGGGGAAAATTCCCAAAAAAAATCTCAACTATTTAATATTTGCCTGAAAAAAATCTGAACTTTTTTCGATGTCGGAAAAAAACCCCAACTAATTTACCGCTGACAAAAAAAACACGAACTATTTTGTTTTACCAATTTCCTCTCGTCTCCGTTACGGGCGTTAACACCGTTGTTGACGCCGTTACTATTTTTTGGGAAAAATCTTGAAAAAAACCCAAGTTATTTAAGTTTGCCAGAAAACTACCCGAATTATTTGTTCATTGCCAGAAAAATACATAGATCAACATTTTTCTTTTCTTTTCTTTTTGTCTTCCATCAACAATGTAAGATGGTGATAGCTAATAACTTTTATGTGTTATCTTGAACCTCATAAAAGTTTTCAGTTTCCCGAACAAAAATATACAAATAGATTAGTCGATTTTCAAAATTTTAAATTAGATTTGTTTTTGGATCTATTCAGACTTTACAAATTTTGGGACATCATCAACAATGGAAAACTAAATTTCATAAGAGCCCCAAAAATCTTGGTAGATCTTCAAAAATTCTCTACATAAATAATAATAAAAAAAACTCCAATCAAGCAAAATCCACCAAAATTGAAGGTAAAGCTAGCTTAATCAAACCAACTCAAAGCTAAAAAAAACGACTAATCTAATTGTGTTTTTTTTTTGTTCTAGTTAAAAAATTGGGAAATCAATTAATGTAATTGTGAGTTTTGTTCTAATTGGAAAATTGAAAAATCGATTAATTTAATTGTAGTGAGAATTTGTATGAGGTTCAAGAGAACACATAAAGTTATGAGGTCTAACCACCTTACATTGTTAATGAAATAAAAGAAAAAGAGAAAAATCTTGATCTGTGCATTTTTCTGGCAACAAAAAAATAATTCAGGTATTTTGCTGGTAAAATTAAATAACTTAAGTTTTTTTAAGGAATTTTTCTAAAAATAGTAATGGCGTCAACGACGGCGTTAACGGCCGTAACAGAGACGAGAGGAAATTGGAAGAAAAAAATAGTTCGTGTTTTTTTTGTCAGCGGTAAATTAGTTGGGGTTTTTTTTCGGCATCGGAAAAAAGTTCAAGTTTTTTTCTGGAAAATATTAAATAGTTGGGTTTTTTTTTAGGAATTTTCCCAAAAAAAAAGTTCTGTCTGATTTTACGTGATGTTTTTGAATGTTTTTAATTTTTAATATTTAAAATGTTTCTGGTAGACATATTATTAGTTTATAGGTTAAGACCATTTACTCTCTTAATATTAAGAAACACACTATTAAGTAAATATGATGTTTAGCTGATTCATGTATGGAATGCACAACTATATTGTTCAATTTTATATCATAATGTTAATTAGAACTTTTAGTATATATTAACCGTTGTGAAAATCAGTATACATCACATGTAGTAGTTCAAATCCAAAAATAAACGTTAACAGCGCCAATTTGAATATGTTATCAATTCATTCACATATCGCATATATATAACACCCAAGATTAATCAAACTTAAAAAAAAAAAGCTTAATAACTTGGAAGTGTTCACACTTCACTGTTTTACTTATAGCTGTAATCGATTGTTCTATTATATAATATTTACTTACTAGGAACATCAAAGCTCCATGATAGAGACGTCACTGTTGCTGTTAGATATATATGGGAAAATATATTAAAAAAAAAGCATGAATTTTAGATTTGGAACCTTTTAATTCTTATTTTTAAAAATATTGATTAAATTATTTTATTTTTGTTGCTTTATAAATAAACAATGAATTTTTTTTTGTTGATTTAGCCATTTGAGACATGTCATTAAGTAGACAGACGAAAGCCGTTTACGATGTTAACTGTCCGTTGAAAATATCCGTTTATTCTAAACGATGTCGTTTGATGGAAAAATGTCGAAAAATTATGAATTTTCAAATTTAGACCGTTTTAATGCCTAATTTCAAAAATGTTTGAATCCCAACTTTCAAATTTGGACCGTTTTAATCACCAACGAGATTTTCGAAGTTGAGATTAAAACGGCTCAAATTTGAAAGTTGATGTTTTTTTGACATTTTTTTCTCAATTATCAAACGACGTCATTAGATTAAACGAAGACTTCTAACGGGCAGTTAACACCGTAAATAGTTTTTATCTATTTATTTAACACCATGTTTCAAATGATCAAGTCAACAAAAGCTATAATTTATTTTATGAATTCAACTAGAACTTGATGATTTAACGCCATGTTTCAAATGATCAATTTAGTTTTTTTTTTTTTTATCGTATGGATTTATTATTTATTGCAAATTATGAGAACTATTACATAGACGATTCTACAACAGATAATTTTTTCGACCCTTATTAGATTTACGATAGACGACACTTCATTCTTCATGCTTTTGACGAACACCTTCAATAATCCACGACCTAACGACACTTTTCTCTATGCGTATAATCCTGGCGAACGGCTATAATTGTGCATCGTTGGAGATCTCCTGTACACTTGTCTCCATTAATCTGCAAATTTGTTAATAAATCGCTGTATCTGGGACTCGAACCCCAGACTTCTTGGAATGAAAGCATTAATTAATCCTTAATCAACCAATGAACCAAAGGAGCTTCCACGATATTTTCAAAGTTAAGAATTAAAACATTTCAAATTTAAAAATTTATGCTTTTTTTTTACATTCTCTCTCTCTCTCTCTCTATATATATATATATATATATATATATATAATCTTTGACTAAATTTAAATCAAAGTCATATCCAAAACACATAATTCACGCACCAGACCAAATTCGAAAGAAAACAAATTATTCTCAATGCACGACGGACAAGAAAAAGAATTATACATAGACAAAGTTGATGTTTTATTTTCTGTTTCTGTTAAAAACATCAAGAACTGAATAACACCATACATACTGACTAGGGCAGAAATTACACTGGTATACATTTTTTTTTTCTTTTTTGATATTTCATCGAATAGTTGTATCTTTCACATGCATACGATTTGTATTTAGTTTGCATAAATATCGTGGAAATATAACACAAAACTCACACAGATGAACAAAATTCTACATGAACTATCTTTAGCATTTTTTTTTTTTGTTTAGTTGACAATTTTTTTTAATCTTTGCATACCAAGAATATAGAAGACGCTACATTTTGCTATGGGTGATATAGTAGCGACTAGGGCATTCAAAATTTTATGGATCGACAAATCCTTCTATCACTAAAGTAACGAGTTTGTGAGTTTCAGTGGTTCAGGATAAGAAGTTCTCTAAAAGTATGACTTCAACATCTCAACTTCGGATGAGAATAGATCTGTAGAGATCTTTGATGAAGTTTTCGAAAACGCTACTCCACAATGGAAAGATTTTCTAGTGGAGAAGTGTTTTGATATGGCTCTACATGTAACCAAGATCTATGTTATTGTTAACAAAATTTGGAAACAAGGAGCATAGTTTTCAAAAATTAATTTCTATGAAGTTGATTCCACGATACTTAGATTTTGGGTTCATCATCTAATGGTTTGAACCAGATTTCTAAGGAGAGATATGTGGAAAATTGCAGAAGTTCCAATGATGGTTGCGAAGTGGACTCCGAAAACGAAGGGGAACCAACCCGAAAGAGAAATCAATCTCATTATGGGTTTCTCTGAAGAAGGTTCCCTTGAACATGTTCTCTTGGAAAGATCTAAGTTTTATTACAAGTGCAGTAGGGCACCGGGTACGAATACATTTGAAAACATCAGCTTGCTCAAACTTTGAAGTTGCAAAAATATTTGTTAATGCATATCTATCAAAAGAATTTCTTATAAAGATTCAGTTCTTCAAAAATGGTAAAGATTTTTTGGGTGGACTTCATCCATCCATGGCTACCCCTGAGATGCTCCACTTGTGATAAATGGGGCCATCTTGAAGCCATATGTTTGGGAAACTCGAAGTACAAAGAGAAAGATAATTAGGAAAAATATGAGGTTGTATCAAACGTTAACAATGAAGTAATCCATATTCCAGAAGACCAACTAGGAATAGCCTCTAGCTTCTACTGAAATGGAACAAGTCAAAGTTCAGAATTTATGTATTATAGAAGGGAAAAAGTTAGAAAACACAACATAAACAGTGGTCAATGGTCTCTCTTTTGAAAAGTTGGTCACAATCTATATAGACAAGTTGTCGAGCAGGTGCAGCCAATAATTTTGGCATCAAAATTTATAGCTCTTAGTATTCTAGAGGAATAAAGAGAAATTTTGGAGAATGCTGTCAATACAGAAGTTGAAAATGCTGTCAATACAAAAGTGGAAGTTGGAACTAAGGGTGATAATATCGATAAAGGGACATTGAAAGAAATAAGAGCAGAGAAAGAGATAGTGGGAGGAGGGAGACCAAAATGTTTAGTTACATCCTCTGTATTCAAAGATTAGTCAAGATATGTATCATGGAGAAGAAATCGGTTCAAAAAGCATCCTCTGTTTTCAAAGTTTGGTCATACATGGCAAATTATGAGTTTAATCCATTGGGCCGCATTTGGATACTTTGGAGATCAACCGTGCGTTTAACTCCTATGTTTAAAAGTGACCAGCTAATAACATGTTTGTGTTACTGAAATACCACATGAAGAATATTTTTGATCTTTCATTTATGCAAAGAACCTACCAAAAGAGAAAAGAGGCTTATGGGAAGAT